TTTTTTTTTTTTTTTTTTTTTTTGTGTGTTGTGGGAAGTGGGAAGAATTTTAGAAGGATAAGGAACAAAGGGAATTTAAGAAGAAAAAATCACTCGTTTAGGTTGTAGGTTTAAATCATCACTGGGTGTATCAGTTTGGAGTCCAACAGAGTGATGAATTTGAACTAATTTTGTCCTAATTCTTCGATAAATTCAGGTTGAGGACATCAAGGAAGCGATAGAAGATGCTGGATTTGAGGCTGAGATTATACCTGAAACCAGTTCAGTTGGAAAGAAGAAGTCCAATGGAACGCTGGTGGGTCAATTCAGCATAGGAGGTATGACATGTGCAGCATGTGTGAATTCGGTAGAAAGCATTTTAAAAGATCTTCCTGGCGTTAGGAGAGCGGTAGTTGCTTTAGCCACATCATTGGGAGAGGTTGAATATGATCCAACAATAACCACTAAAGACGACATAATTAATGGTATTGAGGATGCTGGATTTGAAGCTTCACTTGTACAGAGCAGTGAGCAAGACCAAATTTTTGTAGCGGTTTCCGGCATTGCTGGCGAGGTTGATGTACAGTTTTTGGAAGTCATACTCAGCAACTTGAAAGGGGTGAGGCGGTTCCTCTTCAACAGGACATCAGGAAAACTGGAGGTTGTTTTTGACCCACAACTTGTGGGTCCCAGATCCTTGGTGGATGAGATTGAGGGAAGAAGCAACAAAAAATTTAAGCTGCATGTTACCAGCCCTTACAGTAGGTTAACTTCTAAAGATGCTGAAGAAGCTACAAACATGTTTCGCCTTTTTGTCTCCAGTCTGTCTCTCAGTGTATGTCAATTTGCTTCTCCCTCAGCTAACTTAAGTTGAATATGTTTCTTATCCACATGTTTGAGTTTGTTATTGTTACAAAGGAAGAATTCGTTTGATTTTGAGATTCCAAATATGATGTTTCTTCCAGGTACTGATCTTTCTCCTACGAGTAGTATGTCCTCATATTCCTTTAATCTACTCATTGTTACTCCGGCGCTGTGGGCCGTTCATCATGGATGATTGGTTGAAGTGGGCATTGGTGACTGTT